AAAGCACTATTAGACATTTATTTATGTGAATCCTCGTGCTGGCAAGCATACTGCCCCGCGCTGAGAACATAACTAGCAGCGCTACACCCTTTTTTCACTTGTGCCTTTCAGGTGAACGACAGCACTGACCAACAAGAACAAAACCAACCCGGGAAACTTGGGCAATAGCCTCGATCCTGTGTATCAATCAGTGAATCCGTGAATCCGTAATGCACTTCTTACTGCACTATGAATAAGCGGATCGAGAGAAGCCGCCGCTCTACGGATCATTCGGCGCACCTTCACCCGTATCATTCGCATAGACTTCTAAATAGTCGTTAAAGGTCCATGTCAAACCACTTCTTTAATATGTCCAATTAGGACGAAAGAAAGGCGTAACCCTCCATGAGTGTGTATAACGAGCTGCTGCGTAAATGGTTACCAATCCTAACTCCGTGGACTATGAAACGCGTCTCGGGGTTCTTGATCTCTTTCTCCCGGATCATCTCCGATTCCGAGGAAGCCTAATACGTACTCATGGCATTTTGGAACACGGTCTTTAGGTATTTTATCGTTGATCCCGCTAATTTACGTGGACATGCTAAGAATATACTCAACCCCATTGTTTACACTTATATTGAGCAAACGTTTTCTCGCTGCGGGTAGTTTCTGCGTGAATAACCATCCTTCCTCGACTGTCCACGCTATATCCTGTACCAAGTTCAAAGCACTAATACGCCTTTCTTCTGGAAATCCTCGCAATGTTAAGCTTACTGGCCCGCATTGAGATCTTAGATCGCAGTGCAAAACTTTTTTCGCTTGCACCTTCCGGGTGAACGGCAGTCGCTGGGCGGTAGCGAAGACTTACACGAGCGCCTCTTCTCTCGTAGTGTCCCTCATACAACTGACCTCTTAGAACGAAGTTCGGTAAATCCGAATATTAGGTGGAAAGTCCTGGTTCTCACGGGTCCGCGCTCTGACCTTATTATGCGCTTTCCCAGGGCAGGCTAAACCAGCGAGGCTTATATTGCAGGAGATATAGTTAAGCTGATTGTCAAGTGTGCAGGCGACAAAGACGCAGTACTGTCATACTGGCGCTTTTTCAGATGTTTGGTGGAAGTATTTCATCCCATATAATTCAAGGTAACACGAAAATTTCACGGTACCCTGTCGATGACTGTTTTACTGTACTACACAAAGCTGCAAATACATAGATCAGTAGAAAGAAGGGCAAAACGAACGGGATTGAGCATTCTACCGTGCTGTAGGAGTACCGGCAGAGTATCGACAAGCAAGTAGTTCGGGGCTCTCAGGACATCAGTTTGCTTCGTCTGATCCACAGCGGGAGTTAAGTGAGCCCCGAATGGTGTAGGCGAGTTGAGAACCGGTAGCTGGAGGAATCGACCGCTAGCGGTAGGACTGATAAGCGGCTAAGGATAAAAATTATTATTTGGTCCGCGGTAAAGTCACTGGCCGTCCAAAATTGGAGCGATCTCCATTTTCTCTCATTTGGTAGCAGCGGCCAGAAGAAAAGAGGGTCAGCCATCAGGAAAGCGTGCTGGTGATTTCAGGGCTTTTTTAGCGCCCCGAAACATGAGTATAGAGTATACTGCCAAAAAACCTGGAAGAAGCATATGTATTTTAACATTCAGTCTTCGTGGTCTCCATTCTACGGGCGAAAACAAATTTTGCCCAGGGATGGAGCGCTATAGTAGATTCCTTCTGCATCTGAAAGAGAAGCTTGCGCAAAATTGGGAAATCTTTGTGGCTTCTTTTGAAAATCTCCACAATTTAATAAGCCATGCAAGTGAAGCTGATGATTACATAATTATTATGTTTGTCGTTGTTCAGCCAGTACATAACGGATACATGATCGTCTGTTCCCATAACAGTGGAGGAAATCCATTTTGAAACGACAGAAAATAACATGGAAGGAAATGGAGTCAGTACATTACCTGAGGATTACACAGAACGAAGTCCATATAGTCCCAGTGAGATTCCAGGGTCGCGAGCTAACTGTACCAAGTGCTCTCAAACTAAATGGTGGCTGCAGAAGCTTTTAGGAACGTTTTTAAATGCTAGGCGATGTCAACTCAGCGTTTTGCCACTTCAGGGCAAATCCGGCTGAATCAGCTCATTTTGTGTAGCTATGCGTTTTGAAGGATTCACGGATTCACGGATTGATACACAGGATCGAGGCTTTTGCCCAAGTTTTCCGGGTTGGTTTTGTTCTTGTCGGTCAGTGCTGTCGTTCACCTGAAAGGCACAAGCGAAAAAAGGGTGTAGAACTGCTCTTTATGTTCTCAGCGCGGGGCAGTATGCTCGCCAGCGCGAGGATTCGCATAAATAAATGTCTAATAGTGCTTTAAACTGGGTTCGTGAAGGAGCGTGTACAACCGTCGGAGGAAGGTCATTCCACGCAGCTTCTACCCGAAATGAAAAAAAGTTTTGTCTAGCGGATGTGTGT